GATGGCCCCCGCCGAGGCAAATAATGCACACGCCCCAGCGATGCCGAGTCGAGGGGCCGTGCGCTGCATAACTCACCTCGCCGGATGTCTGGGCTCCGAGGCCGCTTGCCGCGGCCTGGTCGCGCCGGCCACTCCCGACGGAGGCCTTCGTGCAATGCGTGTCCTCCCTCTGCCTCCCGGCTCTGCGGCCCCCCCTGCCGGGAGGAGCGAGGAGGAGCAGCAGCAGGAGGAGGAGGAGGAGGAGGAGGAGGAGGAGGAGGAGGAGGAGGAGCAGGAGGAGGAGGAGGAGGAGGAGGAGGAGGAGGAGGAGGAGGAGCGACAGAGGCAAGATCAGTCAGCATCGAACGGGGAGATCGGAGGGGATCGCAACGTGCGTCGGATCGGCCCGCATCGGCACGGAGCTGGGATCGAACCGCATCGGCCGCGCCAGGGTGCATAACCACCCACGCCGTGCCAGAATCGGGCCGCGCTGGATCGCCCTGGAGTCGGTGTCGAATCGAAGCGCCCAGCCGAACATAGAGATCGAATGGGATCGGTCGAATGAAGGAGGAGGAGGAGGAGGTGGAGGAGGAGGAGGAGGAGGAGAAGGAAGAGCACGAGGACGAGGAGAAGGAGCAGGAGAAGGAGCAGGAGGAGGAGGAGGAAGAGGAGGAGGAGGAGGCAGGAGAGGAGGAGGGAGGAGGAGGAGGAGGAGGAGGAGGAGGAGAGGAGGAGGAGGAGGAATCAGGAGGTGGAGGAGGAGGAGGAGGAGGAGGAGAGGAGGAGGAGGAGGAGGAGGAGGAGGAGGAGGACGATCAGGAGGAGGAGAGGAGGAGGAGGAGGAGAGGAGGAGGAGAGGAGGAGGAGGAGGAGGAGGAGGAGGAGGAGAGGAGGAGGAGGAGGAGGAGGAGGAGGAGAGGAGGAGGAGGAGGAGGAGGAGGAGGAGGAGGAGGAGGAGGAGGAGGGAGGAGAGGAGGAGGAGGAGGAGGAGGAGGAGGAGGAGGAGGAGGAGAGGAGGAGGGGAGGAGGAGGAGGAGGAGGAGGAGGAGGAGGGAGGAGGAGGAGGAGGAGGGGAGGAGGAGGAGGAGGAGGAGGAGGAGGGAGGTGGAGGAGGAGGGAGGTGCACCCGAGAGGTGGTGTGGGCCATATGTCCCTGAGCTTCTCGCGCCAAGCTGGGGCCCCCCACTGGGGCCCTGCAGGCCTCCCGCGGGGTGCTCGTGAGGCCACCCGGGCCTCGCCCGACGTCGGGCGCCTCGAACAAACCGAGACGGAGGTTTTTCTTCGCCGTTGTCGGTATTCATTTTCAACAAACTTTCTGGGAGAAGTCTCGTTTTCTTGCTCGTTCCCTGGAGATTTTCTGGGACAGCTCTCGAACACATCGGGATCTCGTCGTTTTCGGTCCCTCGGGCCCTTGCCGAGCCTCGGGGCCGCCAAAGAACGACTCGGGATGAGAAGCCGGTCCCGGGGAAGTGGTCGGGTCGGGAGGTCGGGGGGCCCGTGCCTCGAACAAATCGAGACGTCGGGTATCCCTCGAACAAAGCGGGCCCGTGCCTCGAACAACCGTGCCAAAGAACGACTCGGGATGAAAAGCCGGTCCGGGTCGGGAGGTCGGGGGCCCGTGCCTCGAACAAATCGAGGCGTCGGACGTCTGGGTCTGCGAGAAGAGCAGGCAGCTGCATAACGAGAACGCTTTTTCGGAGGTCCGCGCGGATGTCTGGAATCCCTCAGCACGCGGAGTGCGTGCGCCAGGAGCGGCGCCAGAGGCACCGCCAGGGGGCGTCCAACGTCGCCCCAAAGGATCCGTGCGGACCTCCGAAAGTTCATGCTCATGCTTTTCAGGGGCAGCTGTGCTCGCGCTGGGACGGCACATCTCGCTCAGCGGTGGAAGAGTTGGGGCAATGTGCGTATCTCTAGGCCTCCTAGATGGGGTCGGAGTAGCTGGGGTCGGAGGATCGCGTCGCATCGCCAATGCATCAGCGATGCATTAGCGATGCATCGGCGACGTCGGCGATGCGTCAGCGACGTCAGCGTGGAGAAAGTCAGGCTCCACATGGAGCCGCATGGCTGATGCATCGCCGATGCGGAGCGATCCTCCGACCCCATCTACTCCGACCCCATCTCGGAGGCCTAGAGATACGTACATTGTCCCAGCTCTTCCACCGCTGAGAACTGGCAAGGAGCAACCCTCCTTGGCTCTGCACGACGCCTGGAGGTCTGGCTTCCGGGCCGTGCCTACTCTGCGCTTGGCGAGAATCTCGGCGGCGAGCGCGGGGGGGCAGTGAGAAGGAGAAGGCCTTCTCAGAAGGCGGCGGGACTGCTCCGAAGGCCTCGGGCCTTCTCTGCAGCTTTCGTGTCTGAGTGTGCCCGCACCGCGGAGGTCACTCCAGCGAGAGGTCGCACCGCCGACCGCCCCGAACCGACCCCCGGCGCGGGCAGACACTGCCGTGCGACGTCGGCCCATGCCACCCGCCGCCAGGCCCCCTGCCCGCGGGCGCGGACCGAGTGACGCTGACCACCGCGGGGGGGGGGGCCCCGGAAAGGTTCAGATCCCAACCGGACGGCTCAGATCCCAACCGGACGGTTCAGATCACGGCAAGCAATAGAACCAGAACGGCTCGGATCCCAACCACTCTTATCTGCGCTTCCGAGCGCTTGAAGCGCCTGGCAGGCGCTTGATAGGCGCTACTGTCGGACCCAGGGCAGAAAAACATCCTGCAAGAACATGAGACCCTCCGCCGGCCCAAACACCTCGAATCATCTCGAGGGTGCCCTCGCCCAGGATGCGCAAGAACATGCGACGAGCACGAAGAACATCAGGGCACCCATCCCTGAACCGACCTCGATCTCTTATACCTCGGCCCGACCGTCCCACACAGACATCCGACGCCTCGATTTTTTGTCGAGACACAGGCGCCCTCGACCTCCCGGCTTTTCATCCCGACGCGGTTTTCGACGGCCCCGAGGCCCGGCGAGGGCCCCGAGTGGCCGAAAACGACGAACACACATCTGCCTCGATCTTCTCTCGAGACGCCCGAGGTCTGGGGCCTCTGACCCCCATCGCGGGGGGACCCTCCCCGCGCTAGTGACCAAACGCCGCGTATGGCCTCAGGCGGTCGCTCAGGAAGGCGGGGGGGAGGAGGAGGAGGAGGAGGAGGAGGAGGGAGGAGGGAGGAGGAGGAGGAGGAGGAGGAGGAGGAGGAGGAGGAGGAGGAGGAGGAGGAGGAGGAGGAGGAGGAGGAGGAGGAGGAGGAGGAGG